CCGGGGCTCGGGGAGACCAGTGGACAGATCAGGGGTCCTGGCGGTCAGGGAGATCGGTGGACAGGTTAAGGGGCTGTGACCACAGCAGCTGGGACCCGGTGCCACATAGTCCGGCCAGCCCCGCTGTGAGTTTTGGCTCCATCCAAGGTGGGGACTTCTCCGGAGGATTCCGAAGGGGTGTCCCAGGGAAACCAAGGGCAGGGCAGAGTCCCCCTAGCCCTAGTCTGGGACTCCGTGTCTCGGTCCCGCATCCTGGAGGCGCGTCTCCGCAGGTGGCCAGAGGGGAAGAAGGTGTTTGTCACGGAGGCTCCAGAGCGCACGGCCTCCCCCCCCCCAGATGCCCGCGCTCCTTTGGAAGTAAAGGAGGGGGGTGTGCTGCCGCCATCCGGTTCTTCTCAGGTCTGAGGCCCCTGCCCATCCCAGCACCCAGATGCTGAGCAGGACCACTGTCAGTGTCCCCTGTCCCCAGGCTGCAGTGGAGAAAGAAGGCAGCGGAAGGGCAGTATGTGAAGGGTGCCTGGTGCTCGGATGTCCCAATAGATGTGGGTGCGCACTCACACCCACCCACACACCAACACACACACACACACACACACACACACACACACCCTGTGGCTGCGGCTGGGCCTGGTAGGCAGCACAGGGCACACACTCCCACCCCGGCACACCCCCACCCCTGGCTCAGAAAGCCACCTAACTGGCACCTCCAGTTCCCCCCTCGGCCCCACCCTGCCCGTGCCCTCCGATGCCCACACACATTCCACTGGCATTGCCTGCCTGCCTGCCTCCTGGGCACTGCCCCTCCCTGGGGCCAGTGGGGTAGAGGGAGGGCACCTGGGGATGAGGGTGGAGGAGACGCGAGGGTCTGGGCTCCCCCCGGGTGGCACCAGGCCAGAGAAGCCCAGCCCACTGCGGCCTGCCTCCTGGGGTGCAGGCAGCCCCCCCCAGAGCCAAGGATGCCTGGGTGCCCCGCCCCAGCTGGGGATGGGGTCATGGAAAAAGGTGGTCGTGTTTATACAGAGGGGAGGGGGGCGGGGGGTGGAGAGCCGCTACAAGAGCAGCTTTGTTCCAGTGTGTGGAGCGAGCGAGCGGGCAGGGCCGCAGGGAGACGCCCCCCACCTCCATCCGGCAGCCCCCTTCATCCAGGCCCTCCCCTGCACGGCACCTCGGCTCCAAGACTCCAAGAAGCAGCTCTGCCGGCCCCCTCTCCCGCATTTTCTCCGGTCCCCCCCCCACGGACCCAGGCACCTGGCTCCCCGTCCCCCTCTAGGATGACCTTCTCTGTGCCGCTCTCTTCAGTGTCTTCAGTTTCCCGGGCACCTTCCTCCACCCCAGAGCAAGCCTCTCGCCTCCCCTTCCCGACGAAGGCGCAGAAACCAAAGCTCAGAAGTGGGGGGGTCTGGTCCTCTTCCTCTCTTCAGGCAGCAGGCCAGTGGCCCTTCGGAGGCTGCCCGCAGGCTCTCTGCGGGAACCCCCTCCCCAGCCTTCCCCTGCTCCCCTCAAGTCTCTCTCCCAGGTGTAAGGAGGAGGACCAGACAAGGAGGGCTGGAGGCCCGAGCCCGTGCTCCATGTGGGCCTGCTGGAGGAGGCTGGGCCGGGGGCCTCCAGGAGCTTCTCACCCTTGGCATTGGAGGGGTTAATCCACCTGGAATGTGGCCCAGCCAGTTGAGCTGTGGCCCAGGGGCCTCAGGGGCCCGGACTCCTGGCTTCACCTGGGCTTACCTGGGATGAGAACTTGAGGGAATAGGGGAGGCAAGAAGAGGGACCCTGGGGGCTCTAGCCCGACTCTGAGAGCCTGTGGAGACAGGGGGCTGGAAACTCGAGGGTGCTGCGGAGAAGACAGCTTGCCCCGCAGGCACCACCCACATCCCCAGCACCCTCAGACCTCAGAGTGCCTGGCGGTAGTATAGGGGCCTGAGTTCCAATCCTCTGCGACAGTTTGCCTGCCGGAGCTGGGAGCCTCCACAGGCAGGAGAGCACGTCGGAGGAGTGATAATCTGGGGCCAGGGCAATACTACAGCGGGCAGTGCAGTGGGTAGGGAGTTTGTCTGGCACGCGGCTGACCCAGGTTCAATCCCCGGCATCCCGTATGGTCCTCCCTGAGCACTGCCAGGAGTAATTTCTGAGTGCAGAGTCAGGAGGAACCCCTGAGCATCACCAGGTGTGACCCAAAAAGCTAAAATAATAATAATAATAGAAAGAAAGAAAGGGAGAGAGGGTAGGAGTGAAAGTATGGTGGGGAGGGCGTTTGCCTTGCATGCACCTGACCTTGGATTTCTAGCACCTCGAATGGTCGAATGGTCCCAGAGCACTGCCAGGAGTGGTTGCTTTTCTTTTTTTTTTTTTTTTGTGGGGGGGGGGGGTGAGCGGCAGCTGCACCCTGCAGTGCCCAGGGTAAGTCCTGGCTGTGCACTCAGGAATTACTCCTGGGGGCTTTGGTGGGGCGGGCCATATGGGATGCTGGGGATGGAACCTGGGTAGGCCATGTGCAAGGCAGATGCCCTACCTGCTGTGCTATCTGTTCAGTCCCACCAGGAATGATTTCTGAGGAAGAAAGGAAGGAAGGATGGAAAGGAGGGAGTGAGAGAAGGAGGGAGGGAGGGAGGGAGGGAGGGAGGAAGGAAGGAAGGAAGGAAGGAAGGACATGAATCGATGGCATTGAGGCTCTCAGCTGGGGGGTCTGAGAGCAGAAATAAGGGCGACACTTTGCTGCCACCACGATGCCCTTTGCTCTCTCTTGAACCTTTTTTTTTGGCCTTTTGGGTCAAACCAGGAATTACTCCTGGCTCTGCACTCAGGAGTTACTCCTGGGTGCTTGGGGGACCGTATGGGATGCCGAGGATCGAACCTGGGTTGGTCGGTGCAAGGCAAACCCCCTGCCCTCTGTACTATCTCTCTGGCCACCTTCTTCATTCTTCAGTCCATAAGGTTTGGGTTATAAGGGTTGTTCCCTAATTGGGGGAACTCTCCTTTCCCAGGCCCAAACTCCCTCGAAAGGTGAGGGGTTCTGGGGCTCTCTGGGGAGAGACAATTCCTTTCCTTTTTTTTTTTAATGTCTTTAAATATTGGGCATATCTGGCTGTACTCAGAACTAACTCTTGGCTCTATGCTCAGGGATTACTCCTGGCAGTGCTTGGAGAACCATATGTGTAGCCGGGGATCAAATCCAGGTGGTTGCATGCAAAGGCACATGTCTTATCCTCTGTGCCATCTCTCCAAACCCCCTGGAAATCAATTCTTCCCTGTCAGCACATCAAGAGAGGACCACCCCCTCCACCCCCTTGGCCAGGGGTTACCTTTACTTCTTGCCCTTCCATGCCCCAATTAAGCATCTCGGGGTGGAGTTGGAGAGATTGGACATTGGGCAGAGCGCTTGCCTTGCCCGTGACTTACCTGGCATCTCGTCACCCATCTCGTCTGAGTGCTGCCAGGTGTGATCCCTGAGCATAGCCAAGTGTGCCCAAAAATAAACAGAGAATTTTCACAGGACACAGGGCATAGTTGGAGATGGTCCAGCCAGTGGGGCAGTTGCCTTGCATGAAGCTAATCCAGGTTCAATCCCTGGCCTCCCCCTTTTGGTTCCCAGGATTGATTTCTGACTGTAGCGCCAGGAGTGAGCCCCGAGCACTGCCAGGAATGGCCCCCGAACCAGCAAATGCACAAAGGGCGTCCTCCAAGTAGCAGAGCAGAGGGCCCAAAGGAAAGAGGAAAGGCAAGTCAGCCGAGGACGAGGAGAGACTGACCCTGCCGTTTGGAGTTCGGTCCATATCATATCTGTGAATTTGGAGGAGAGTGCAAGGGAGGTTAGGGAGTAATTGGAAGCAGAGGAAGACTTGGGAGGGGAAGAGGGAGCGAGAGAGCGAGAGTGAGAACGAGAGAGAAGGAAATGCTAATTGAAAGAGAGGAAGAGAAAACACAAAGAAAGAATATGAGACACTTCTGTAGCATTTGGTGTGTGCCCTGTTATTACTTTAAATACTTTATGTATGTCCATTTCTTTAATCCTCGCAAAGGCCTTATGAGGAGGGCTCTATTATTAGTTCCAAATGACAAATCAGGAAATTGAGGCACAGGGAGATTAAGTAGCATGTCCGAGGCCCCCGCAGCTAACAAGCGTGGGATCCGCTCGGGTGGTCTGGCTCCAGCCCCTGCTCCTTAGCGCAGTACTGACCTCCCCAGAGCCCAGCAGGGCCCTGGACTTCTCTGGAGTTTCTATAGGTGGAGGGGTGTCTGGCCGACAAGGTCGCACGACCCACAGGGCCCTGGCCTTGCTTGTGGCTGACTGGAGTCCCGGCACCCCCTAGGGCCCCTCAGATCCCATCCAGAGTGATCCCCGAGCACAGAGCCATGAGCATGCCCTGAACATGGCTGGGTGGAGCCCCAAGGCAGACAAAACCAGACAAGACAGGTGGAGGAGTGTGAATCCCACCGGCTTCCCGGGCTCTTTCCACATCTGTGAAGAGGGAACCAGGATCCTATCTTGTACAACTGACATTCGGGGTTGTTTTTTCATTTTCCCTTTTTTTTGGGGGGGGGGCCATACCCGGCTGGGCTCAGAGATGCCTACAGTGTTGGGGGGGGACTCCCAGCGTTTGGGGGACCTGAGCCTGCCGTGTGTGATGTGATGTGAGGCCACAATCCTGTGTCCTTCTCAGCTGCGGAAGCGAAATGGTCCCTCGGCTCGGGAGACCTGCCTCCCAGATGTCCTCAGACCCTCGCTCCCTTCGGCGACTTGGGTTCCCCTTCCCTGGGCTGAGAGAGGGCCCGGGCCAGGGCAGTAGGGAGGCGAGATTTCTGGGCCTGGGGGCTTGGCCTCTGCGCGATCTCCCTCTCACCTCTCCTTTTCCTCTCCTTCTCTCTAGGACGCTTGGACACCAGCTGAGAGGCCAGGCAGGGTGGGCACGGAGCCTCCCAGGCCGGGCCAGTGGGCATGGGCGGGGGCAGTGGCTAGAGACCTCCCCCGCCCACTGCAGACCCCCGGGGATCCCGCCTCGTCGTCGTCCACCGCAGCTGCCATGGCCACCAACAAGGAGCGACTCTTTGTGGCTGGCGCCCTCGGGCCTGGATCCGGCTACCCAGGGGCCGGCTTCCCCTTCGCCTTCCCAGGGGCACTCAGGGGCTCTCCACCTTTCGAGATGCTGAGCCCTGGTTTCCGGGGCCTGGGCCAGCCTGACCTCCCCAAGGAGATGGCCTCTCTCTGTGAGTCTCGGGGGTCTCGGGGATGAAGGCGAGTGAAATCAGGAGGGCGTTTGGGTGGGTGGGGTGCTGAAGACCCTGCAGGCAGGCAGGGCTAGGGGTTTGTTGCAAAGGTGGGGGGGTAGGCATGGCTTGGGGGGCATTTGGACGGGAGCCAAAGGAAGGTCGGCAAATGAGAAGGAAGGGGAGCGTGGCCTGTCTGCAGCTTGGGGCCAGGGTACAGTGTCATCCTGGGTGGCGTTTGGCAGCTGGGTCCGAAGTTTGAGGCTCCGGCCTGCAGTGGTGTGGGGACAGGAGGAACCTGGGAAATGGATCAGTTATCGGTGTGATCAAGAGGCCAAACTCGGGGCTGGAGAGATAGCACAGCGGGTAGGACATCTGCCTTGCACGCGGCCGACCCGGGTTCGATTCCCAGCATCCCATATAGTCCCCTGAGCACCGCCAGAAGGAATTCCTGAGTGCATGAACCAGAAGTAATTCCTGTGCATGGCCAGGTGTGACCCAAAAAAGCAAAAAAAAAAAAAAACCCACAAAAAGAGGCCAAACTGTTCTGAGTTCGGGAGAGGAGTCCCCCACCATGGAGCAGTGGGGAGGGCACTTGGCTTCTGGAAGGCCAACCCCGGTTCTTTCCCGCTTGGTCCCCTGAGTCGGCTAGGAGTGATCCCTGAGCCAGGAATCAGCACTGAGCATCGCCGGGTGTGGCCCCCCAAACCAACCCGAAACAAACAGTCCCCACCAGGTTCCCACAGGTCTCCGGTGGGGTCCGTCCAGAAACCCTCTTGTCGCTTCCGCTTCCGGAAGGGGCAGAACCCCCCGAAGAGTCGGTGGCTCTTGCGCCACCCATAATGCTGGGAGGTGGAAGGGGTGTTCCAGAAGCATCCTCTCTCCCGCCACGCGGGTTCTGGATTCCGCCCATCTCCTCGCGGGCCCCGTGCCAGTCCGCTCTGCAGATCCTTACTTGTCCCTTGGGCCTGCCCGCTTTGGGTTAAGCCTTCGAGTGCTGACAGCAGGCAAGCCTTGGGCCTCTCTTCTTCCCTCTGGGTCCCTTCTCCTCCCACTGGGGAGTTGCTCGTCCTGACCAGGCCATTACAGGCCCGCGTGCCTGTGAACCGGGAGGCTGGGTACCGGACCCTGTGGGAGAAAGGGCCAGGCCAGAGCGCAGGGCTAGAGCAGGGCTGCCCTGGGCAGGACTGGAGCCCGTGGACGGAGAGGGGCAGCCCCAGAGAGGCTGAGACAGAGCAGGGGAAGAAAAGACTAAAAGCACAGGGGCCGGAGGGAGAGCACAGTGGGTAGGCTGCCCGCCCTGCGTGCTGCTGGCCTGGGTTTGGTCTCCAGCATTCCGATGGTTCCCCGAGCCCACCGGGAGTAATTCCTGAGTGCAAAGCCAGGAGTAACTCCTGAGCTTCGCTGGGTGTGCCCCCGTCCCCCCCCCAAAAAAAATACAGGCACATCCTGGGGGCTGTGTGTTCGTTTAAAGGAGTAGACGGGATGGTCTGCAGCTCCGCCGGGAAAGGGTGTGCTCATCTGGAGAAGCGGGGTGTGTGTCGTGTGTGTGTCTCTGGTGTGTGTGTTGGTGTGTGTATCCGATGTTTATGTGCCTGGTGTGTGATTCTGGTGTGTCTTTGATGGATGTGTATGATGTGGATGTGTGTGGGTATGCGTGTCTTGTGTACGTGTAGTGTGTGTGTGTGTGTGTGTGTGGTGTGTGGTATGTGTGTCTTTTGTGTACGCGTGTGGTAGGCATGTGCGATGTGTGTCTGGTGCGTGTGTGTGTGGTTGGTAGTGTGAATGTGGTGTTTGTGTGGTAAGACCACACGTAAGGCCCTCGCCAGAGAAAGCCCCGCAGGAGGAGGGCAGGGTTCGAGCCCTGGCAGTACCTGACCTCCTCAGCACCTCCAGGAGTGGCCCCAAGCAGAGAGGCCGGAGTAGGCCCTGATCACCACTCTGTGTGTCTCAGAAACCAACAGGCAAAATCACAGGGTCAGACAGATAGTCCCGGGGGCGGGTACTTGCCTTACGTGTGGCCGACCCTAGTCTGGATCCTGGCACCACGTATGGCACCGAGCACAGAGCCCGGAGTAAGCCCTGAGTACCGCGGGTGTGGCCCCAACGTAAAACAGCGGCAACGGGACCACACGGAATGTGTGTGCAGCGTGCCCTGAGATTCTGCTGGGATACAGGATTCCAATGCGTGCAACAAAGAGTCAGTGTGCAGCCCGCGACCGTGTTTACTGGGGCCGCCTGGCGAGGCTGCCGGGGCCGCGTCCGTGGTCCAGCGGGCTTCCTGGGAAGGCAGGCAGGTGAGGCGGCGAGCACAAAGCACCCCTTTTTGGAAGCCTCATTCGCACCTCGTGAGCCTGTTGGCCTGGTGAGGTGGCAGGAAGGCCCCTCCACAGTGACTGAGTGGGGAGAGAGGAGGGGATGGGGGGGGGAGAATGCTGAGAGCTCTGAGCCCCAAATACTCCGAGAAGTGCAAGGTCAGGGTTTGCAGTGAGGTCAAGGTAGGGGAAGGGATCGGGCTGGGGCCCACCCACAGCACCCAGCACCCGCCCTGCAGGAGGGGTCCCAGAAAGAAATCCCAGGAGGAGCCAGAACCGGGGCAGGTCGCTCTGGAGGGTGTGTCTGGCAGAGGGAACAGGCCTGGGCAGAGAGATGGGGGGAGGGGCACGTTTGGGTTGCCATTCTCCTAGGGGAGAGGGGTAAGTGGGAGGGAAGCCAGGAGCAGGAATCTGGGACCCTCCTACAGGGGCCTGGGGCTGTGGGGGTCCAGCTGGAGTCTGGGAACCCTCCTGAAGAAGGGCGAAAGAATGTAGCTTCTGGGGGGGGGGGGGGCTAGAGCAATAGCACAGCAGGGAGGGCGTTTGCCTTGCACACGGCCAACCCAGGTTCGATTCCCAGCGTCCCATATGGTACCCTGAGCACCGCCAGGGGTAATTCCTGCGTGCAGAGCCAGGAGTAAGCCCCGTGCATTGCCGGGTGTGACCCAAAAAGAAAAAAAAAAATGTAGCTTCTTGTTTCTCGGACCCCCTGTTTGGTCCAGGACCAAATACTGGGGAGAAATCCCAAGGCCCAAGACACACTCCCCTCCGGGTCTGCATCCCCCTCCTGGCCTGCCCGCTTACGGCTCCGGGGGGAGGGAGAGGGGGTGCCCCACCAAGGAGCCTGGCCATCCTCCCTGGAGCTGGCTCCGAACACCTTGCAGACACCTTTGCGGAGCAGGGAAGGCGCCCTCCATGTCTGGGGATCTCCAGGGGCCCGGCTGGGTAAGGCAGGCCCCTCGGAAGCACCTGGAGGGGGAGGCGGGGGTGGGGGGGGCCATGTGCCGAGGCAAGCACAGACTTGCGTGCACGAACCGGCAGAGGGGAGCATGTGCGCACGCGCGCGTGAAGGTGTGCAGGTGTGTGTGAGCGGAGCGTGTGTGTGCATGTGCTTGTGCGACTGTGCCTGTGTGGGCTTGTGCGTGAGGGTGTGTGTGCGTGCCCTCACCTTCCTTGTGTGCGTGGTGTCCGGGTCGGTCTGTGGGGGGACGGTCCTTGTGGACCGGGGGCAGCATGTGACCGCTCCCGCCCTGGTGGGGAGTTGATCTGTGGCCCCGCTTGGTCCTCCCTCCGGCCTTGGTGACAATGCCTGGGGCACGGAGCCCAGACCTCGCCGTACGAGTCAGATGGAGAAACTCGGGGCAGGCTGGCACAGGAAAAAACAGAGAGGAAAAAAAAAGACTTCAAAGACACTGCAAAAGAGAGGCTCGCAGACCTGAAGGAGATGAGAGCAGGGCACAGGCTGGAAGGTGCCGGCGCCGGCTGGGGAGAGGCCCGGGGTGAGCCCAGGCCCGGGAGGGCGCGGGCAGCCGCCAGGCCTCCAGGAAAGAGCCCCAGCCGCTGCCTCCTTCCCCTCCCCTCCCGGCCTCTCCTCCCGAGGCTGGCGCTCCAGCTCCCGCGGCACAAATGGGGCTTTGATTGCAACAGGAAACCTCTCGGGCGGGGGGAGCCGGGCCAGCACCGCTGCTGGGGCCCGAGCTGCACCCCCTCTCCGGCCCCCTCCCCAGCCCCAGCCCCCATCCTGCCAGCCAGCGCCGGCTTGGGCCCATCCCTCATTCACACCTCCCTGTCCCCCCCTCGCTGCCCGCCGCCCGGCCGCCTACCCCCTCCCCGGGCCCTCAGGTGGGACTCACTCTGGGGGCGGGGACAGGGGCACTTTGAAATGCCCCCTTTCAGTTTTTGGAAGAAAAGGAGAGTGTAGCCCGAGGAATTCACAGCCAGTGAGCACGCCAGCCCCGTCCAGAAGGTGGCAGGAAGCGGGAAAGAAGGAGCACAGGGGGTAGCTGGCCCTCCCTCCTGGGTCAGACTCATCCTGGCCAGGGTCCCCGAGGCTCTGGGGGCGACTTCGCCAGAAGGGCTCGTGGGCCGTCCCTGGGAAGGGCGCACCTCTCCTTGGCGCTGGGGCTAGGCCTCTGTGGGGCTCCGGCCAGGAGGGGGGCACTGTGGTAGTGGGGATCACAGGAATGGGGGGTGAGTCAGGCATCAGCCCCTCTCCGCTCCCACCAGGCTGGTGGAGAACATCTGGTTCCCATGAAATGCTAGAAGGCTAATGGGTCTAATTGCTGCAATAAGGGCCGGGAGGACTTTGGGGGAAAGAGAGGGCACTGGATCCCCCATCACCTACCTTCTCCCGACGCTATACTAAGACCGCCCGGATTGGGGGCTGGGGTTGGCGGGGCCTGCCTGCTTCCTTTCTAAGCCTTCCTCTCCCGGCCATGCCCGGGAAGCGCACCCAGGCGGGCGAGGAGGAGTGGGGTGCATCTGGTGGAGAGAAAGGGGGGCCACCGAGGACTCGCGGCTTCCTCGGGCCCTGCCCCCACTCCTCCTGTGCCCCACTCCCAACCCCCTCCCTGTGGCCTGGCCACTTCTGGTTCTAATTACCAACCAGGCAGGCCTGACTTAATTGGGACCTTTCAGATTTCGGAGGGGGAAGGGTGTGTGTTGGGGGGGGCGAGAGCAGGGAGT